GGCCAGCCAGCTGCCGGCTACCCAGCTGGCCAGCCAGCCTGCCGAAATTATAGTTCCAGACTCGTTTCTTTTTACTTAGGGCATAGGTTATAGGATATTCTGGCAAGATGACACTTTCCTCTTAACCCTTTCGCAGTTTCGGCCAGACTAGTACGGTTTACGCTCCAGGGTTTTTGACGTACTAGTACGCATAAATTCTAGCGCCCTCAAATCTAGCAAGAGAAAGCTGGTAGGCCTACATATAAAAGAATGGGTCTATGTGGTCAGTGTGCGCAGTATAAAAAAATCCTGCAGCACACAGTGAGTAATGAGAAAAAAAAAACTTCGACCGTGTTTTATATTTAAAACAGCGACTTTGCACTGTATTTTCATATGGTATTTATTGTTGTATTCTAGTTTTCCTGGTCTCATTGTATAGAATGGAACACATATTACAGAAACTGAGATGATTTTGACTGGTTTTACAATGAAAAGTACCTTGAAATTGAGCTCAAAATAGCAGAAATGTTCAATTTTAACCAAAGTTCAAAAGTAAACAAATCATGCTAAGTGTCCAATACACGTCAACTGGTGAGTCTAATGTTCTTTCACAAGTGCGCCGATATTATTTATACCATTTCTACACTAATGCAGTAGTCTGCATAACAGTAAATCATGTTTTTTTTGTGAGAATAAAAAATCAAAGTGGAAAGCAAAAGAAATGTAAGAGGGGTCTGGGGACGTGACTAATGAACAGAGGAAATGTTATTTTAGTGCCAGGAATGTCTTTCTTGTTTATTCTGGACCCTATTTGGACATTGGCATCTGAAATTTGTGTGAAATTGGCAAAATTGCTAAATTCTGACCACTTTATTGGATAGTTGAAATTGGTAAATGGGTGGTTTCTTGTACTCATTCGTTGGAAAAAAAAACAGAGTTCTAGTGAAATAGTTATGATTTTTGTCGACTAGTATACTGGAATTGGCCGAAAATAGGGCTCAAAGTGGGCAAAATTGCCAATGCGTGAACATCCTTGAGACCGCTAACTTCGCAAGAGCATAATTCCCTAAGTTTTCCATCAAATTTCATACTTTTGGTGTCATTATGATTGGGAAAAGATTCTCTATCTTTTCATAAGATTTTTTTTTTTTGTTTTAATTTTGGCCACCCTGAGAACAAGTCTCTGAGAGGGCCTGGCGACCCCCAAAGGTTTAATTAAAAGGGGAGTGTTAATAGGACATGACATCAGTGAATCCTTGGTGTTTGCCACACAGTTTGCTCCCACAAGGTACTAAATGGTCACAGATTTTTTTAATACACTGCACACCAAGGGTTAAGATCCATTCTATGCTGACCAGGCATCTTAGGCCAATCGTGCCAAATTTGGAGGCAGGAAAAATTAAACATAGATCTACGTTTGGAGCATAGATCTATGTTTGGACAGTTAACCCTCTGACTGTTTACGTCGTATATACACGTCTTACGCGCCACTGTTTCTGACATATTCAAACGCGTAAATTCTAGCGGCTTCAAATCAAGCGGGAGAAAGCTGGTAGACCTACATGAGAGAGAATGGGTCTGAGTGGTGGGTGTGCACCCTGTGAAAAAAATCTGGGACTCAGTGGTGCATTGTGGGAACACCATCTTGGTAGTCCATTTTCACAATGCCTAGCAGTAAGAAGTACCTCACTCCTCAGCAGATTGGAGGTCTTTTGTTCACAAGTGATAGCTCTAACAGCGATGAAAGTGTCAGTGAAAGTGAATTCCATGGTTTTCAAGTGGGTGTGACTGAAAAAAGTGCCCAGGATAACGTAATTAGTGATGAAAACACAGATGACCCATGACCTTCCACCTCTGGTGCTGGGCTGGCTCGTTCACGTTCACATTCATGTTCACCTGTACCAGGACAAAAGAGGAAACTATTTGCCTGTGTACAAGACTCAAATGTGAGCAGTGAAAGTGATAGTGATAGTGATTTTAAAGTTACTGAAAGCAGTTTTAGTTGTGACAGTGAGGGTGAATATTCCTCAGTGAAGCAGCAGTATATATGACGTAGCATGCGGTCTGGTAGTGTTTCATATGCTGTTCCAAGGGGAAGGAGTAAATCTCGGAGCACATCCCGTGGCCCTACACCACGACCTGATAGTGAAGATGACGATATTGTTACGATGGGTATGAATGATGTGAGTGAGGCAGCAGGTAGTGGTAGTGATAGTGATGGTGGCATGAGTCATGTGGCACTGGCAGCGGGCCACGCTACTACCCACGCTGCTGACTCTGCACAACCAGCCTCACCCAACCCCACACTCCCACAACCTGCACAACCACATTTCAATATCCAGAACCCACCAGCAGACCGCATCTGGGATTGGCAGCAAGGTGATGAGTTTGTTCCCAGTCCCCATGACTTTGATGAAACACAAAGTGGAATACGGCCATTGTGTACACTTGGGAACAATGCTACTGAACTGGAATGCTTTCAGTTATTCTTCGATGAACCCCTGATGAACATTATTGTCAGGGAAACCAACACATACTATGAGTACACCATGGCAAATACAGTTCTCTCACCAAGATCACGGCTACACCAGTGGAAGGACACAACTGTGGCAGAGATGTACCTGTTTTTTGCCACAATAATGCTTATGCCACATGTGTATAAGCACACTGTCACCACATACTGGGCAACAGAACGCCTGATTTCAACCCCAGGTTTTAGTGACATTATGGGTGTGAATCGTTTCTTGATACTGTTAAGTATGTTACACTTTTCAGACAAAACAAGGCCTGACAAAAGCGACAGGTTATATAAGATCAGAAATGTGTTTTTGTACCTGAAACAAAAGTGTTGCATGTATTTTTATCCCTTCAGGAAGCTTGTTATTGACGAGTCTTTGATTTTATTCAAAGGAAGACTCTCATTCAAGCAATACATACCAAGGAAGAGGAAACGCTTTGGTATAAAGTTATTTGTACTGTGTGATTGCAAAAGTGGTCTCATTTTGGATATCATTGTGTACACTGGCAGTAATACATTGAGAGATACCAGGAAGTTATTGGGTATCTCTGGTGATGTGGTTCAAACAATGATGGAACCATATCTTGGTAAGGGGCATATATTATTTACTGATAACTGGTACACAAGCCCCATACTCAGTGATTTCTTTTGAGTGAACCTGACCGACGCTGCCAATGACATCACGGCATTTCAGTGGCATGACAAACGTGATGTCACATTGTTGACATCAGTTCACCGAAACGAAATGGCACACACTGGCAGGCACAACAGAGAGACCAATGGACCCATTCTAAAACCTGCAGCTGTCATGGACTACAACCTCAATATGCGCTTAGTGGACAAATGTGACATGCAGATTGGGTTTGCTGATTGTGTATGCAAGAGTTATAAGTGGTATATAAAACTTTTTTTCCATCTTGTTGATATTTCCATGCTAAATGCTTATAACATATACAAGTTGAGGACCAACAACAAACCAAAATATGGTGAATTTTGTTTGTCAGTCATCAGACAAATAATCCCCAAGTACCAAGGAGCAACACCTGCAATAGACCAGCGCTCACGAAATTACCAACACACGCCATCTCGTTTGAGGCCTGGTGATCACTACCCCATACAACTGCCTCCTACTGCCCTCAAGAAAAATGCTCAGAAGAGGTGTTTTGTATGTGGACATACCACAAAACGCACACAAACATGCAGAGACACTCGTTTTATGTGTGAGGAGTGTCAAGTGCCACTCTGCATATACCCATGTTTCAAAGAGTTCCACAAGCTACAGCAGTTCTAGGAAAGTGTTCAGTGACTGTACATACGTATATACATTATGGAACAATAGTAATAAACAATGTTTTGTATTGTTTGTTTGTGTAAAAAAGTTTTATACACAAACTAATAGTGATAATGTTTGTTCAGTTATTGTGTTGTAAACAATGAGTGTATATTTGAACAATGCACCTTACTTTAGTCTCACAGGCCACATAAGTTACTTAGAAAAGAAAAATATTGGAAAATACAAGAAGCCTTCGAATTGGAGTAAATAAAAGAATACCGGGTGGGCGGCATTCGCCGCTGTTGCCATACACTGCTCATTTTCTGCCAACTTTGCGCCTCTGTATCTCGGTAAGTACTGATGGCAAACAAATTTTTTTAGGCTTAAAACACTCGGTAAAATAATCCGAACATTTTGGTAAGAAAAAACATTTTTTTTTTTTCGAATATTTTGCGACATAGAATGACAGTTTCAGAAAGGGGCCTGCGACAGTCAAAGGGTTAAGGGGTGAACATTTATAATTTTTTTTTTTTTTAACAAACTGGCCATATCCCACCAAGGCAGGGTGACCTAAAAAGAAAAACAAAAGTTTTTCTTTTTAAATTTAGTAATTTATACAGAATGGGTTACTAGCTTCTTGCTCCCAATAGTTATAATTATAACCATAATTTTTAAAGGGGTGGACTGGTAAGCCAGCGGAAAACCTTGGTCAGATGACCGATGACTGTTTCCTGATGAGCCTTACCTAACCTAACCTATGATACTTAAATGCTACTGAAAAATAATCGAGCAGGATTTCTATAAGACATAATAAAATTTATTTTTTTTTTTCAACAAGTCGGCCGTCTCCCACCGAGGCAGGGTGACCCAAAAAAGAAAGAAAATCCCCAAAAAGAAAATGCTTTCATCATCATTCAACACTTTCACCACACTCACACATAATCACTGTTTTTGCAGAGGTGCTCAGAATACAACAGTTTAGAAGCATATACATATAAAGATACACAACATATCCTTCCAAACTGCCAATATTATTATTTTATTATATTGTATTAAATCCTGAATAAAATCAAAATTTATTTTCAAGGGTATGTAATGCATTTTGGCCAGACTTAATACTGTATTTCATATAACAGTTAAGGGTGGATTATAATAATGCTCAATATAACATAAGTACAATGATTATTCTAAGTAATAAAATCTGATTACATACAGTAAAGCAATTTTGCATTATAATTTTGTGAACAAATTTTGAATTATGAATTCTATTTTGAAAAGTAAATTTTTCATGGGAAAAGTTAAGCTGAAGCAAAAGTAATGGTGAGTGTTAACCAGGTAAAATATCATATTCTCAAGAATTACCTGGAAGCTCATCTCCTGTTGGAGAATAATCATATTATCATGATTATGAAGGCAGCAGGCTAGGAGAGTAGGGAAGAGCACGCTAGTAAGGCTAGGCTCACTGAAGTACTTCCAGGGAAGATTGCACAGCTGCTGTAGTACGCTTGGCACTTCACCACTCTGTATCACCATCTGTAAACCAGTCATTAAGATAACACTGAAAAGGGCTAAGAAGTAAAACAAAACTCACAAATTTTGTGTCTCTGAAGCGACACCAATCACAAATACAGTAAGGATATTTAACCCTTAAACTGTCCAAACGTAGATCTACGTTTGCACGTGTAGCGCTCCGAATGTAGATCTACATTTTTTTTACATAAGAAGCAATGCAAAATCGAACGTAGATCTATGTTCGGAGTGCTATGCGCAGGAATGTAGATCTACGTTTGGACAGTTTAAAGGATAAGAGTGAATTTCTATAATCATTAATAAAAATCAGGAACAATAGATTCCAGCACTGATCCTTGTGGAACTCCACTAGATGCTTATATACAGAAAATAGAATAGAAAATAGATAGAACACAGATAGAGCACAAAGAGTAGTAGTAAACAGGGTAAAGTCTGAGGCAGCTACGGTGAAAAGCTGTTCCACAAGGCACAGTACAGTGGAACCTCAAAAATCGAACTTACTCCGTTCCAGGAGCTAGTTCTAAATTCGAAAAGTCTGAAATTCAAAGCAATATTTCCCATAAGAAATAATGGAAATACAATTAATCCGTTCAAGAAACCCAAAAATATTCATACAAAAAATACATTTTATAGAGATAAATTACAGTTTTACATACAACAAATACTATAGTTTTTAATTATGTATAGTAATACATATAAAATAACATTTTTACTTACCTTTATTGAAGATTGGTGATGGCATCTGGAAGATAGGGAGAAGGAGAGAGGGAGTTGGGGTTAGTGTTTGGAAGGAGAATCCCCCTCCATGAGGACTTCAGGTAAAGCCCTCTCTGGGGTTACTTCCCTTCTCTGTCTTTTAATGCCACTAGGACCAGCTTGAGTCACTGGACCCGTGTCTCACAAAATAACTGTCCACAGTCCTCTGTTTCTGGCACCTCTTTAACATTTCCCTAAAATGGGACATGGTTCTGTCACTGAACTTGTTGCAAAGATGGCTTGTTTCAGCTTGCTCAGGGTGGTACTTCTGCACAAACATTTGGACATCATTCCACTTGGCACAAATCTCCTTAATCTTTGAAGAAGGCACCTCATCCACTTCCTCTTCCTCCTCCTCTGAAGCAAGTTCCTCAGCTGTGGTCTGATACTACTCCAGATGAAGCTCTTGCAGCTCTTCAGTGGTTAGCTCTCCCATGTGGTCCTCCACCAACTCTTCCACATCCTCACCACTCACCTCCAGCCCCAGGGTGTTCCCCAATGCCTTATGATTAGCTTTCCACAAGACACATAACTTGTTCTTAGGTAAGACACATATGCAACAGTTAGGTATCTTTATTTCGAAACGTTTTGCCTACACAGTAGGCTTCTTCAGTCGAGTACAGAAAAGTTGATAGAAGCAGAAGATACTTGAAGACGATGTAATCAGTCCATCACCCTTAAAGTTTTGAGGTGGTCAGTCCCTCAGTCTGGAGAAGAGCATTGTTCCATAGTATGAAACAATATGGAGATGAAGTGACAGGATGGAGCCTGGATTTGAGAGGGACCTGACCTCCCAACATCTGAGTTCTTACCTCTTCTAGTGACCTACGTCTCACCTCCTGGCGCTATATAAGGCTCCATCCTGTCACTTCATCTCCATATTGTTTCATACTATGGAACAATGCTCTTCTCCAGACTGAGGGACTGACCACCTCAAAACTTTAAGGGTGATGGACTGATTACATCGTCTTCAAGTATCTTCTGCTTCTATCAACTTTTCTGTACTCGACTAAAGAAGCCTACTGTGTAGGCAAAACGTTTCGAAATAAAGATACCTAACTGTTGCATATGTGTCTTACCTAACAACCTGTCAGTATTTTATACCATTTTAATGTTCAACTTGTTCTTAAACACTCTGGGATTTTCTGAATGATACACAAGTAAAGGCTTCACTTTAAAATCACCACTAGCATTAGCACAGAACAAAAGAGTAAGCCTGTCTTTCATAGGCTTGTGTCCTGGCAGTGCCTTTTCCTCCTGTGTGATGAAGGTCCTTTTAGGCATTTTCTTCCAAAACAAGCCTGTTTTGTCACAATTAAACACTTGTTCAGGTTTCAATTCTTCACTGTCTATGTACCCCTTAAACTCCTGTACAAACTTCTCAGCCGCTCGTTTGTCTGAACTGGCTAGCTCACCATGTCTTACAACATTGTGTATGCCACTATGCTTCTTAAATCTGTCAAACCAGCCTCTGCTGGCCTTAAATTCACTATCAGCACTGGTTCCAGGAGTTTTCTGTACCAGATCAGCATGCAACTTCCTTGCCTTTTCGCAAATAATCGTCTCTGAAACACTATCACCTGCAATCTCTTTATCCTTGATCCACACCAGCAACAACTTCTCAACCTCTTCAACTATTTGTGGTCTTTTTTTTGGTTAGCATATTAACACCTTTTGCAACATCAGCTTCCTTGATTTGTTCTTTCTTTGACAGGACAGAACCGATGGTCGACTTGTTTTTCCCATACATCCTGGCAAGCTCAACAAGTCTCACACCACTCTCATACTTCTGTATTATTTCCTTCTTCACATCTATGGTGTTTCTCACTTTCTTTACCACAGGGGTAACGCTAGCAAGTTTCTTTGGGCCCATGGCAGCTTATTTCACAGTCCCACAAGCACTAAACACAACGAAATAATCGTAAAATGCGTGAATGAGAGCGCAGGTTAGTGTTCACTCAAGCATAAACAAAGCTAGACTGCTCATGGCGCCTGCGCGGGGACACGGACAAAGCGGGCTGGCAGACAGGTCCCGTACCTGGCGGTCCGAAAATAGGGGCGCATTCGATAATAGGGACACAGTTTGTCCGAAAAAATGGTCCTATTTTCGAAACGTTTGATATGTGATACGTTCGATTTTTGAGGTTCCATTGTACTCACTCCCATCTTGTTCCTCATTCTCATATCTGACATAGACAGGGATGTAAGCCACAGCAGCATGTCTTAATTTGCAGATGACACCTGAATTTACATGACAGTGTGCTCCATTGAAAATACTGCAAGACTCCAGGCAGACATCAACCAAATCTTTAAATGGGCTGCAGAACACAACATGAAATTCAATGATGAGAGATTTCAATTACTCTGATATGGAAAATGCGAGGAAATTAAAACTATATCGGATTATAAAACAAATTCCAACCACAAAATAGAGCGAGAAACTAATGTAAAAGACGTGGGAGTGATCATGTCGGAGGATCTCACCTTCAAGGACCATAACAGTGTATCAATCACATCTGTTAGAAAAATGACAGGATGGATAATGAGAACCTTCAGAACTAGTGATGCCAAGCCCATGATGACACTCTTCAGGATACTTGTTCTATCTAGGCTGGAATATTGCTGCACACTAACAGCACCTTTCAGGGCAGGTGAAATTGCTGACCTAGAAAATGTACAGAGAACCTTCACAGCACACATAACTGCAATAATCCTAGAGGGGTTAGTACCAAACTTGCACATGAAAATCACTCCCTATGAAAGAAAAAGACTCGGCAGATGATGCAACATCCCCACAATGAAAAGTAGGGGTGCTACTAGCACGATGAGAGACAACACAATAAGTTTCAGACATCCAAGACTGTTCAACTGCCTTCCAGCATACATAAGGGAGATGACCAATAGACCCCTGGCTGTCTTCAAGAAGGCACTGGGCAGGCACCTAAAGTCAGTACCTGACCAGCCGGGCTTTGGTTCATACATCAGGTTGCGTGCAGCCAACAGTAACAGCCTGGTTGATCAGGCCCTGATCCACCATGAGGCCTGGTCACAGACCGGGCTGCAGGGGCATTGACCCCCAAAACCCTCTCCATGTATACCCCAGGTATAGTGACTATCTTCTACTATGACTTTTGATGCTTCTTTTACAGGTCACCATGCCTCACTGGGCGACAGCTGATGTCTTTAAAAAATATACTGTTCCAGTATGTCTTTATCCATGCTAAGATCACTCCCTTGACCCTCTATCATCTCAACCTTTCTCACTTATGCATTTGTCTAATCTATTTTAAAAGCCAGGCAGATCCTGTGCAGATAAAGGCAGACATGCACAGACATTAAGACATTTATTGAGGAAATGTTTTGACACATGTGGCTTCCTCAATAAATGTCACAAACTACAAAGATTAAGACATGTACACAACTTGGGACATTGAATAAGGAAGCCACTTGTTTCAAAATGCTTCCTTAATGACTTATCATTATTTCTTGTTTTGAAAGTTCTAATTATCCACTCCATCACTTTTCGGGCTTTCACACTTGCCTTGTGTTTCTTAACCTTTTCACTGTCATGATCCATGAAATTAAAAGTCCTGTCAGTTTCACAATTTAAAAAAAAAAACTTTTAAAATGGTTGAAACCCTTTCTAAAGGCAATAAAAAAAATGTAAAATTTGATACAAAACTTAGAGAAATAGACAGGTGCATAATTGGATGTTGAGAGCATTTTATATATTTGTAATTCTGCCCACTTTGAGGCAAATTTTGGACCAATTCAACTGCTCAAAGTGATCCGGTATCTGGCTATTTCACTTCTATGCCTTTGATTCCACTGACTGAGTGCAAGAAACTATCCTATAAAGCACCCAGAAAAGTCAACAAATAATAAGTGCCATATCAATCAGGCTAAGATGTCTATGTGGGTCAGTGGGGCCACCAGCAGCAACAGCCTGGTTGCACAGATAAGAACCAGACAAGCCTGGCCCAGGGCTGAGCTGTGGGAGTAGGAAAACTCTCGAAACCCATCAATGGAACATTAAAAGAGATGACTTTCATGCTTGTCACCATAATAAATATGAAAGCCCCATTTAATTACCTAACTGTGCCAAACATATAGGAACATTCCACACTTATGCTAAACATATGCAAAAGATGAGTGCATTTGAAGAACATAAAATGCCATAGAAAACTGTGTCTGGAATACGTGGCAAGAGCTGCTGACTCTGGCTTTGGCTCCTATGTTAAGGTTACAGATTTCTATATTTAACTCTTCATTACATATATGATTTGTATACATAACTTATTTTGTGTGATCTATGTACAAGACACCAATAATGTCATGTTTAGAAAGAGAAAGTGCCACTGCATACTTTGGCTGAATCAAAGCCAGAATCAGCAATGAAAGAAATAGCACATGATGCACAAAATCATAACAACATGACTAAACAAATCACACAACAGGTGAGACCTGAACACTTCCTTCGTCTCTCTCAATGAAATAACACAGTTTAGGTTTTACCTGGAGAGAGTTCCGGGGGTCAACGCCCCCGCGGCCCGGTCTGAGACCAGTTTTGATATCTGAAGAGTATTTTAACTGTGTAAATCATTCAGCAATCTTGGTAATAAAAATATATAAAACATACACACAAAAAATGAAAAAAATAAGCAAACAATAAAAACTACTAGCATGATTTTTTTAACATGCTGGCCATCTCCTACCGAGGCAGGGCGACCTAAAAACGAAACATCGACACAAATAAATACTATCATACCAAGTTAAAACAACCAGCAACAGTTAAAAATCCTGTTGAATTATTAATATCAAAAAGTTCCCAGAGATCCCTATAGGCACCCCAGTAATTACAAAAAAGAAAAAAAAAAGACCAAAGCTGAAAGGCCTAAGCAATGGGCAAACTGTTAAAATGTATTTCACACCCAGTGGAACATAACAAGCTTACAGGGAAAGGAGGGGTAACAGAAGCACCCACAAGCAGGTGGATATGAGTGAGATCATGCCAAGACAAATCCAATCCAATCATTAAATCTACCCTTTGTAATATTACATATGATTTGTACTACCTAACTATAATAAATCTAATTGTGTATGTACCTAATTAGGTATGTATCTAATTAAGTATGTATGTATCTAATAATGAATGTTCAAATGTACTGCTCCATAACCTATATCAATATAGAGTAAGAATTAGTATTAGTCTGCCCGAAATGCCTAGGCATGATAGTGGCCTTCTTTGTAATTAATATTTTATAACATGTCAACCACACATTGTAAGCTTTACAAAGAAATAAAGATTTTGTTTTTGATGTGTATGCCCAATCCTCAGTCAACAGAGTTTCATCTTAGTGACAATTCCTGTTGAAGGAGGAGGAGGAGGAGGCCCAACCACCTACGTCCTACTGAACCCTGTGTAACTTGCTTCTTGTTTGAGGGCCCACTGGGCCCAACACTTCCCAGGTTCATAGCTATGCACATGGCCAAGTAATTAAAGTGTAGTTATGATAATGTATGATGCTGCACTGAATATTCTCTTCAAATTATTTTTACACACAGGTCTTATTGATCATTCATAAGATATATAAATATTGGAAAACAGTCAAGCAAGAAAACTTTTGTTTAGTGAACACGTTCTCCTTTATCAAGACTTTTTATTAATCTAACAAAACTAGATACATTAGCAATGTGCTGCTACCCTATTCTATATGAAAATTACAGTGGAAACAAAAGCTAGCTAATAATGCAAGAGCAGTAAGAGACTAGGGGATGGGGAGCACTGCTTGTGACCTGGCCAGTTGATTGTGAAAATGTAGAGGGTACTACCCAAGTTTTGCATGTTGCCTAATTTTTTTAATTACACTGTATATTATCAAGGGTGATGTGTGCACTATGGGATTCTGGATGCAAATGTCAATAGAGTTTGTACAAAACTGCACTGTGTCACTGTATAAGAGAGTTTAATGTACTCTACTCTTCTTGTTATATTCTCTTCTACTGTCCTATTCATCCAAGCATGATTGTCACAATCAGTGTAGACCATGTACTGCAATCAAAGCAACTCAGATTTTCTTTCAACTTTCTGGCAAATACTGTTTCACAATTAAATTACCCAATTTTTCCACCTCAATGCTTTTTACCTTCTCTTTTATATTTTGTCATGCACTGCCTGATGTGCATTAATTGCTGCCTTAAAATTCTGGTAATTACAATCAGTATCCACTGGAAGTCATTTATCTAGGTAATAACATGTCAAATGTATCACATAGTAATAAATGTTGCTTATAAGGACTGTATGGTAAAACATTCTGGAAACAATAAAATCCATTGATATAAAAGGAAATGTTTTCTGTTGAAGGTCAAAAAGTATGCATATTAAATAACATTATCAACCACATCACATTCTATTTGATAACTTACCTGATTTTCTTTGTTGTTTACTGCAAAGAAGCCAACAAGGGGTATAATGTTATGCAGTATGTCTTCACAAGGCCAATAAGAACAATACCAGAGGAGATAACTGGCAATATGACGGAATTCCAATGAAATGCCTTCACTACCTAGTACACCCTGAAACACAAGGAAATATTTTTTCTGATATGTGAACACATACAGCAATAGTTAAGAATACAAAATATGTAGTTTATGCCATTTTAATCAAGATGTTTTGTCCACCACGTACTGTATTTTTGGGCATACTATAGGGTGCATAAGGAAAGTATCATAATGGTAAATCAGTAATCATATTCAAAGGTTAATTACTCTTACTTTATGCTAAAGCATAGCCAAAGCCTACCCCTGACCCTGACCTTCAGCATATGAAGCACAGGGTGATTTTCTAAGATTTTTTGTGGGAAAAAACGGTGCACCTTATTTACATACTTTTTTTTTTATTTTTTTTGATGTACCGGCAATCTCCTACGATGACAGGATGACTCAATAAAGGAAAAGCACTTTCCCCATTACTCACTCCATCACTGTCTTGCTGGAGCCATGCTGATAATACAGTCAAGATGTCCTTCAAACTGCAAATACACCCACCCCTCCTTCAGAATGAAGGCATTGTATTTCCCACCTCCAGGACTCAAGTCCAGGTAACCAGTTTTCCTGAATTCCTTCATAAATGTTACCTTGCTCACACTCCAACAGCTCTTCAAGTCATAAAAACACCACTTCCCTCCACTCATGCCTATCTAACATGCTCAGACAAGCCTGTTGGATGTCCAAGCCCCTTAAATACAAAACCTCCTCCACCCCCTCCCTACCTTGCCTTCCCTCCAATGCAGATTTAAACATCCTCCAAGTCATCCTATTTTACTCAATCCTTTGTAAATGGTCAAACCATTTCAACAACCCTTCCTCAGCTTTCTAGATAAAAAAAAATATATATACAGTGGTACCCAAGTTTTGTACAGCTCCCAACTCGAATATTAAGTACGTGTATTTTTGTGGGTCTGAAACGGACTAATCTAATTTACATTATTCCTTATGGGAAAATTCGGAGTGTGGAAATTAGGAGAAGGTGTGAAGTTAATAAAAGTATTAGTCAGAGGGCTGAAGGGGGGTTGTTGAGGTGGTTTGGTCATTTAGAGAGAATGGATCAAAGTAGAATGACATGGAAAGCATATCAATCTGTAAGGTAAGGAAGGTGGAGTAGAGATTGTCCTCAAAAATGTTGGAGGGAGGGGGTAAAGGAGGTTTTGTGGGCGAGGGGCTTGGACTTCCAGCAAGCGTGTGCGAGCGTGTTAAATAGAAGTGAATGGAGACGAATGTTATTTGGGACCTGTCGAGCTGTTCGAGAGTCAGCAGGGTAATATTTAGTGAAGGGATTCAGGGATACAGGTTATTTTTATATAGCCGGACTTGAGTCCTGGAAATGGGAAGTACAATGCCTGCACTTTAAAGGAGGGGTTTGGGATATTGGCAGTTTGGAGGGATATGTTGTGTATCTTTATAAGTATATTCTTCTAAACTTTTGTATTCTGAGCACCACTGCAAAAACAGTGATTATGTGTGAGTGAGGTGAAAGTGTTGAATGATGATGAAAATATTTTCTTTTTGGGGATTTTCTTTCTTTTTGGGTCACCCTGCCTCGGTGGGAGATGGCCGACTTGTTAAATAAATAAATAAATAAATAAATAAATAAATATATATATATATATATATATATATATATATATATATGTATATATATATATATATATTAGGTAGATGGCAATAATATTTTGAGGAACTTTTAAATGTTGAGGAAGAAAGGGAGGCGGTAATTTCATGCACTGGCCAGGAGGTATACCATCTTTTAGGAGTGAAGAAGAGAAGAATGTAAGTGTGGTGGAGGTACGTGAGGCATTACGTAGAATGAAAGGGGGTAAAGCAGCTGGAACTGATGGGATCATGACAGAAATGTTAAAAGCAGGGGAGGATATAGTGTTGGAGTGGTTGGTACTTTTGTTTAATAAATGTATGAAAGAGGGGAAGGTACCTAGGGATTGGCAGAGAGCATGTATAATCCCTTTATATAAAGGGAAAGGGGACAAAAGAGATTGTAAAAATTATAGAGGAATAAGTTTACTGAGTATACCAGGAAAAGTATACGGTAGGGCTATAATTGAAAGAATTAGAGGTAAGACAGAATGTAGGACTGCAGATGAGCAGGGAGGCTTCAGAGTGGGTAGGGGATGTGTAGATCAAGTGTTTACATTGAAGCATGTATGTCACCAGTATTTAGATAAAGGTAGGGAAGTTTTCATTGCATTTATGGATTTAGAAAAGGCATATGATAGAGTGGATAGAAGAGCAATGTGGTAGATATTGCAAGTATATGGAATAGGTGGTAAGTTACTAAATGCTGAGTTTTTATGAGGATAGTGAGGCTCAGGTTAGGGTGTGTAGAAGAGAGGGAGAATACTTTCCGGTAAAAGTGGGTCTTAGACAGGGATGTGTAATGTCACCATGGTTGTTTAATATATTTATAGATGGGGTTGTAAAAGAAGTAAATGCTAGGGTGTTCGGGAGAGAGGTGGGATTAAATTATGGGGAATCAAATTCAAAATGGGAATTGACACAGTTACTTTTTGCTGATGATACTGTGCTTATGGGAGATTCTAAAGAAAAATTGCAAAGGTTAGTGGATGAGTTTGGGAATGTGTGTAAAGGTAGAAAGTTGAAAGTGAACATAGAAAAGAGTAAGGTGATGGGGGTATAAAAATGATTTAGATAAAGAAAAATTGGATATCAAATTGGGGAGGAGGAGTATGGAAGAAGTGAATGTTTTCAGATACTTGGGAGTTGACGTGTCGGCGGATGGATTTATGAAGGATGAGTTTAATCATAGAATTGATGAGGAAAAAAGGTGAGTGGTGCGTTGAGGTATATGTGGAGTCAAAAAACGCTATCTATGGAGGCAAAGAAGGGAATGTATGAAAGTATAGTGGTACCAACACTCTTATATGTATGTGAAGCTTGAGTGGTAAATGCAGCAGCGAGGAGACGGTTGGAGGCAGTGGAGATGTCCTGTCTAAGGGCAATGTTTTAGTGTAAATAATATGCAAAAATTCGGGTGTGGAAATTAGGAGAAGGTGTGGAGTTAATAAAAGCATTAGTCAGAGGGCAGAAGAGGGGTTGTTGAGGTGGTTTGGTCATTTAGAGAGAATGGATCAAAGTAGAATGACAAGGAAAGCATATAAATCTATAGGGGAAGGAAGGAGGGGTAGGGGTCGTCCTCGAAAGGGTTGGAGAGAGGGGGTAAACTAGGTTTTGTGGGCAAGGGGCTTGGACTTCCAGCAAGCGTGCGTGAGCGTGTTAGATAGGAGTGAATGGAGACGAAAGATACTTGGGACCTGACGATCTGTTGGAGTGTGAGCAGGGTAATATTTAGTGAAGGGATTCAGGGAAACCGGTTATTTTCATATAGTCGGACTTGAGTCCTGGAAATGGGAAGTACAATGCCTGCACTTTAAAGGAGGGGTTTGGGATATTGGCAGTTTGGAGGGATATGTTGTGTATCTTTATACGTATATGCTTCTAAACTGTTGTATTCTGAGCACCTCTGCAAAAACAGTGATAATGTGTGTGTGGTGAAAATGTTGAATGATGATGAAAGTATTTTCTTTTTGGGGATTTTCTTTCTTTTTTTGGGTCACCCTGCCTCGGTGGGAAATGGCCGACTTGTTGAAAAAAAATAATAATAATAATATTTATTTTTTATTATTTTTATTAACCCCTTCAGGGTCCAAGGCCCAAATCTTAAGTGTCCAAGAATTTTCAAAAAAAAAAAATTATTTTTTCTTATGAAATGGTAGAGATTCTTTTTGTGAAGGTAATAATACAAAAAGTACGAAATTTGATGGAAAGTTGACGAAATTATGCTCTCGCGAATTTTGATGTGTCAGCGATATTTACGAATCTGCGATTTTGCCAACTTTGACTCCCATTTTAGGCCAATTACATTATTCCAGTCAACCAAATTCTTAGCTATTTCACTAGCATTACTTCTATTCTATCGATTGAGCACAAGAAATCGCCAAGTCAACTGCTTCAACTACAAAATAAAGTGATTGGAAATTGTTAATTTGGCCAATTTAACACAAAGTTCAAAATATTCCAATTTCAAAATAGGGTCCAGAATAAACAATGTAGGTATTCCGGGAAAACTAAACTAACATTTTTTCTGTTCATTAGTTACGTTTTGAGGCTTTACAAATAATTCCATTTTGATTTTTTATTCACATAATGAATTTTTTACACACCAAAAAATAGAAGATTTACTGTTATGCAATACTGTAATAATTGTATAAATATCATCACCATATTTGTGAATGTATATTAGACCCACCAGCTGGCTTGTATTAGACATGTGAGGTCGTTTGTTTACTCTTGAATATTGGCAAAAATTTAACATTTCCGCTACTTTGAGCTCAGTTTCAAGCCATTTCCAGTGCTAAAACCAATCAAAATCATCTCTATTTCTGTAATATGTCTTCCATTCTATCAAATGAGACCAAGAAATCGCAAATACAACTATAAAAAACATACGAAAAAACACTGCAAAGTCACTGTTTTAATTGAAAAATCATGATTTCAGTTTTTTTTTCTCTCATTATACACAGTGTGCTGCAGGATTTGTTTTATGTGGAGCACACATACCACATAGATGTATTCTCTCATATCTAGGCCCAAATGTACCACTCACAGTTTATCAGAGTGAGCTGAGCTCATGACGTAGATCTACAGTTTGGACCCTGAACGTAAAGCCGTAGATATACGGGACGGACCCTGAAAGGGTTAACACACTGGCCGATTCACACCAAGGCAGGGTGGCCCGAAAAAGAAAAACTTTCACCATCATTCACTCCATCACTGTCTTGCCAGAAGGGTGCTTTACACTACAGTTTTTAAACTGCAACATTAATACCCCTCCTTCAGAGTGCAGGCACTGTACGTCCCATCTCCAGGACTCAAGTCCGGCCTGCTGGTTTCCCTGAACCCCTTCATAAATGTTACTTTGCTCACACTCCACCAGCACGTCAAGTATTAAAAACCATTTGTCTCCTTTCACTCCTATCAAGCAC